TTTGTATTTTTTCTTTGGCTATTTTTAGAACTTTCTTCATCAATGATTTTTAGCAATTTGATATGGTATGTTTTGGTGAGATTTTCTTTTTGTCAGTGTTGTTTTGGTTTTGTCATCATCCTTAATAGTGTTGAACTTTGTTTTGGCAAGTAGTAAAGTTATTTGTGGATCACCTTGATCTTTTCACGGCTTCTTTTTAAGGTTTGTTAGGGCAAGCTTAGAAAAATTCCTATTTCAGAATTAGTTTGGCCCTCCTACCTTCTGCTCTTTTAATTAAATGCCTTGGTAGTCAACATGGCAAAACACAGGTGTTTCCCAGCCCTGGAAATTAATCAGGTTACAGTTCCTAATCATTCTTTGTTTAAATTTAGAGTTTCCTACACATACATGGCTTTGTGTTTAGCCAAGGACTCAGTGGGATCCCAAGCAGAGTTTCGGAGCTCTTTCTCTGGATAGCTTCCTTCCGCATTATCCTGCCCCTCAAGTTTGAGTTGTTCCTTCTCTTCAAATTAGTGGGACTCCTGAGCTTCTGCTAGGATTCCCCTTAGGAAAATGGCTTTAAGCAGAAAGTCAGTGTCATGATAAGGCCCACGTTGTGTGTTTTTCCCTGCTTGTAGGGATGGCACTTCACTGTCTGTTGTCCAGTTCCTGAAATCAGTTGTTTCATTTGTATTTTGTCCAGCTTTATAGTTTGTGGGGCGGGTAGTTCTGGTCCCAATTACTCCATCATGGCCAGAAGTGGAAGTCCCAGAATTCTTTTTAAACATTGCTCTCTTGGCCGGGTACAGTGGCTTCTGCCTATAATCTTAGAACCGTGTGAGGATCATATGCATTCAATAGTTCAGTACCAGCCTGAGCAAGAGTGAGACCCTGTCTTTACTGAAAATAAAATTAGCCAAGCATCATGGAGGGCTCCTTGTAGTCTCAGCTACTTGGGAGACTGAGGCAGGATGATCACTTGAACCCAGAAGTTTAAGATTGCAGGGAGCATATGCCACCTTGCTCTAGCTTAGGCATCAGAGTGAGACTCTTGTCTAGATAGATAGATAGATTGTTTTGATCTACAATTTTATGTTGGTTGCAGCTCAGAAGTTATATCTCACTTAGAAAATATTTGTTCACTGTGAGTTATACAGATCTTCCAAATTGGTAATGCATTTCATTGTAAAATGTCAAAAAAAAATTACATTCCTTAATATCTCCAATCTCATCAGAAAATTCTAACTTTTGGGAAGCTCTCAAGCTGAAGGTGGCAGGTCCAAGTTTCCTAAAATTCTAATTTTCACTGGAGGGCTTAAACATTTGGGGGGATTTTTTTGGTTATGTTATAGAGATGGGGTTTCAATCTGGAGTACAGTGGCATGATCATAGCTCACTGTAATCTCAAACTCCTGGGCTCAAGAAGTCCTGCTGTTTAAACCTCTCAGATCACTAGGATTATGGACTGAAGCCATCACACCTGGCAGAAAACCTAATTTTAATCATTTCCAACAGATAACTCTTATTTTCCATGAAGAGGTGGGCTTTGTTCATTTTTGAGAAAGGGTCTGCCAGATGCCCAAGGCTGTACAAATGTTATTTATCTGCTAATCATTTATCTGAGAAGAAATGAGATTCTATGAAAAAGCAGCTAGTTCAGCCTAAAGTGTGTTTATGCATATTTTTTGCTAGGGACAGCCATTGTACTCCAAGGTACAGCAGACAACACGAGGTGTTCTTCTCATTTTGTCACATGGAATATAAAAGTGAGGTGGATTTGAGGGACTTAGTAGAATTCATAATTTTTACTATTTCATTGAGAACTTTTTTTTTTTTTGCAGTTTTTGGCAGAGGCTTATCTTTTTTTAGCCATGAGAGCCTACCTTGATTCTCGCCCAGATGCCAGTTTTACTCACTATTGCTTTTGCACAATCAGTGCAAATATCAACGTAGTAAGAAAGGCAAATAAGTAGTTGTAACTAAAATAGTTTTAACCTCAGGAATCCTCAGACCACACTTTAAGAACTGCTGACCCAGGTGAAGAAATGAATACAGCATGTGTTTTTAATTTGCAACACATAAGAAAATAGTCCTGGCTCAGCGTCTGTAGCTCAGTGGCTACGGTGCTGACCACATACACCAGAGCTGGCGGGTTCGAATCCAGCCACAGCCTACTAAACAATGACAACTATAGCAAAGGAATACCCGAGCATTGTGGCAGGAGCTTGTAGACCCAGCTACTTGGGAGGCTGAGTCAAGAGAATCACTTAAGCCCAAGACTTGGAGGTTGCTATGAGCTGTGACCCCACAGCACTCTACCCAGGATGACAAAGACACTGTCACAAAAAAAAAAAAAAGGAAAATAGTCCCCTAGGGGCCTAATATAGATGAGCTTTTTCAAATTGTTTGAAGTGTCTCTTCTTCCTTTTAGGGAAGCTATTGCAATTGCTAAGGCCCGGCTGCGCCCAGATGACCCAGTCCTGAAGGACTTGTACCTGAGCTGGGGAACCATCCTAGAAAGAGATGGCCATTACGCTGTGGCAGCCAAGTGGTAAGCCTGAGGGAGGCAGTGCATCCGCATGTAGAAGAGTTTCTACCAGGAAGAGCAGGACAAGGGTCAAAGTAGTAAGTTTACGCCAGGCTTTCCTAAGCCCAAGAGCTCAAGGTTGCAGTGAGCTATGATTGTACCTTGGTACTCTAGCCTGGGCAACAGAGTGAGACTATCTCTCAAAAAAAAAAAAGTAGAGACAGAGGTAAAGTGGCTAGAACATAAAAAAAGATCTGTTTATTCAACCTAGTTTCATAAGGCTCATCAAGATATATCTCCTGATTTATTTAAATAAATCACCATAATTATTCAAGAAAGTTCAGTAGCAGGCTCAGAAATTATACCTTTTTTAACAATGGTTTATGCCATCCAATGAGAGAAGTGAGAGAGAATGACTCCTCTGAGTTCAGTTCAGCATGTGTTTAGACTCCTTCTGTCCTTAACACATTCAATGTTGTTTCTCACACCCTGCCCTGTGCTAGTCTGACAGTCACAGGAGCAACCTGAGGCAGTGACACTTCTGGGACCATAGGAAGGAACATGTGGCAAAATGGACAGAAAGAAATGGTTCCCTTGTCTGGGGGGGTGGGATAAGGGGATCTGTTCATAACACTTTTGGGGGGTTTTCTTTGTATTATAGCTATTTAGGGGCCACTTCTCCTTATGATGCAGCCAAAGTCTTGGCCAAAAAGGGGGATGCAGCATCACTCAGAACAGCTGCAGAGCTGGCTGCAGTCGTAGGAGAGGATGAGTTGTCTGCTTCTCTGGCTCTCAGATGTGCCCAAGAGCTGCTTCTGGCCAGGAACTGGGTGGGAGCCCAGGAAGCCCTACAGCTGCATGAAAGTCTACAGGTCAGTCTGTTATTTTATCTCCTGGTATTTAACAGAAAAGGTTCTCAAATCCTTTTCTAGTCAAATCCAAGTAAATAGTCGCACAAGATACACCACAAGATACGCCAGCAAGCCTGGCCATGCTATCCCACTGAAGTGCTTTGGCTTGTTAGTTGCCATGTTCGGAGTAAGAGATAATGTGGTCATCCACAGTAATTCCCATTGCTTATCAGTTTGTACAAAACATCTATGAATAGACTTTAGTCAGCCCAGCCCTGGAGTTGGCAGGCTTGGGTTTTTTTCATTGATGTCATCAGCAGTGTTTTCCTTAAAGAGAGAGTAGATAGCCTCTAACAGAAATCATAATGCTCTGCCTGTACCACCCTTTAACTGTAAGTTTAAAAAAGGGGAGGGGGATAGAAATGTTTTATTTTTTAAATGTTTATTTCCATCTAGTTAAAAATGAGTACCTTTCTGACATACCAAAATTAAGACTACTTTTAAAGCATTGGCTCTCTCACACTAACCTAGTTTCTAAAACATGTAACCATTTGCTCTATTTTATTTTATTTGAGACAGTGTCTCACTTTGTCACCTTTGGTAGAGTGCAGTGTCGTCACAACTCACAGCAACCTCAAACTCATGGGCCTAAGTGATTCTCTTGCCTCAGCCTCCCAAGTAGCTGGGACTACAGGCACCCACCACAATGCCTGGCTATTTTGAGAGACAAGGTCCTGCTTTGGCTCAGGCTGGTCTCAAACTCATTAGTTCAGGCAATCTGCCCACCTCAGCCTCCCAGAGTGCTAGGATTACAGGCATGAGCCACCATGCCCGGCCCATTTGCTCTATTTTATATGACTGTCAGGTAGCAGCGTGAGCTTTTAAGTTCTTCCCCTAGCATAGTCCAGGAAAATGCTACATAGGGAGGAAGCTTTCTGGAAATACCAAAATAAAAATGGAAGCAAAAGTAATACACCCTGAAGGATAGTGCCACGGGTTATTTTATTTACAAAATGACCAAATCTAGAGCAATTTTAATTTATCTGAAACCAAAAAAAAATTTTCAGAATGATTATTTACAATTTTATTTTTTCTCTAAATCAACCTCCTTAACAAAGCAAGAAAACCTATAAGTTTATGCTATATGCAACAGAGACTCTTCCAAGCTTAACTGAGAAAATCCTCTTATAGGGATACATAAGAAATCTCAGGGCAACTGAAAATCTGGCAGAATAAAAGGCTTTCCAGTTTTCTCTTTGCTTCTCTTCACTACCAACC